GGAAATTTGATAGAAATAATGAATTTTTTGAACTCACTTCGAAATCCACACCGAGCGGTGGAGTTTTACGAAACGGCTCTTTACGGTCTCGTATATATTCGAGAATCTTTCGCTCATCTTTTTTGAACTCTACTTTATGTAGATCATCAGGTGCGACTGTGTGATTACACATTAATATCGCTGAATTATTGTACTTGACGTAGTTTGGCGCAACAAGCCGTACCTCGGGTGTCCCATCTGAAAATAAGTCTGAAATTAAAACTTGACCAAAGCCTCAACTTTTTTTAAATAGCTCAATAAATCAGTACCACAGAGCTAAACTTTCTGAATCTAAAGCTAAAACAGAGTCAAAACTTCATTAATTTGCGATCTCCCATTTTAATCTACTTTAAATAATATCAATAATAATAATTTGTTTTAAATCATTGGGATTCTCATTTTTTTAAATAATTTTTAATGAAGAATTGAAAGACTTGATAATGTGGAGATTAGATAAAATATTTTTTAATGGAATCCATCAGAATTTTTTAATGTTCATAAATAAATGCAAAGGCCGAGCCCTCGTTGAATTTCTGAAGGATTTCCGACAAAATCCAGAATTTAAGAAAAAACACAGAAAAATCTTCGCATCACCTGGAAATCTTGTGGTCCATTGAATAAATTAAATATTAAATGAAAAACAATGTGAATTTTGGCGGAAGGGGTCCAGACCAGGGTTAATCTCCCACCTGTGTTCCACTTGGTGTGTTATTAAAGGATTCCATTGAATAAAAAATAATGCATGCAAATTGGGTAGAATAAACCGCTTCAATGGGGTGTGTAAAGGGTGGCACTTGGCCCACTACATAATAGGTGGGCTTATACCCTGTTGCTGGGAGGCGTTACTGTATCGATCACAAAAGCGCGTGTCTCTGGTGCATATACCCATAGTTATCCCTCCAGCACTAGCCTATTTATTCAATTAATATCGAGGAACATTCCACCGACGGAAATCGAAAAAACTCACTTATCCCTATATATGTCCACCATTTCCTAACTTTTTTCTAAGTAAAATATTTATAAATATTTATAAATCGTGTCAACCCACAAAATAATCCCCGATACCCACTAAAATATACAATCACCCCCTCCCCATTCACACCCCCCTTCTCCCTTGCCCATAAAAAATATTAAAGAAAAGAAATTTTATCCGTTTTTTAACTTTCAAATCTAACTTTGAGGATTTTTCATTTCGCCGTACAGGAAATAAATTCTGTCAGCCAAAAAAAATTATAAAATTTTTTTGTATTGATTGGAAATTAAAAATAACTGTCAAGTAATTGCAGTAATTGGGGTACTGGAAATAATTATGACGCACGGCAGCGGTAAAATTGGTTGGAGTATCTCAGGATTGGAGGGCGATATTGAAATTTTTATGAGAACCTTTTTTGTAGGTTTTGTCAAGGGTTGGCAAAAAGTTATTATAAAAATTTCGATATTTCTCGCAGATTCTGAGATATTTATGAAAAACTCGGGTAATTGTTGAGAATTTCTGATAAAAATCGACCCGAATTTGAATTTTCGGCGCCATAGCGTCCTGAAACCTGGATCGATCTACCGGCGAGACCCAGCCTGATCAACAGGATGACGTCGATCCAAGCTAGACCAATTATCCCCATAAAATCCGCAACTATTTCCCCCCCACCCCCCATCCCTCGATTTAGCCTGACATTTACTTGAATCGGAGAGGAAAATTGGGTTCAGTAGCCCCGACTAATTAAAAATTAAACACATCTGCCAAAAACTCCCCAAACCCAATTTTTCCCTTTTTACAATATAATTTATGGTAGCAACAATGACATTGTTTCTAACACAAAGATATACTAATTTTCAATTCTACCTTGGAAATTTAATGCCAAACGGACGGTGAGAATAAATTTAACTGGAAATCGTCCCCGGCGTGTCCTAAACCCCAATTCCACCCCAGAAAATCCTTCTGGAGCCCTTCAATATCCCGACACAAGTGGCTGTCACCTGGCAAGGACCTGCCGTCGACCGGAAACGACAATTCCAGTAACCCCCTAAACGATAAAAAAAAAAATACTCCCACCCCCAATGCACTGCTAACCCACATATATACCACATACATACCCCACAAAACCATAAAAATCCAACTTACATGAAAATAATTGTAAAGTATATATAAATACGATTTTCTTCCATTGAGCCTGTTGCCGCTGCATATTGTTAACTCTTTTATTTATTTATATGATATCTCCGTATATACACATAAATCTATGTATATACATATGTATACGTTTTAGTCAGTGGTAACGGTGCCGCTGATTAATAAATAAAGGATTTAATGACTCAACTAGACTTTTTGGTTGTTTCTTTTTTTTTTAATTAAAAAATACAAATGTGCATACTAGTTTTTACAGTGTGCCTTTAAACTACTCAACTTCGGTGCCGACGTCGGCGCTACAACTGGGGGTTGTGCTTTCGATCGTTCCTCGGGCCACCCTCGGTGGAAACTACTCCCCCCACCCCCCCATTCATCCCCCACACACCCCCACCCCCACCCCGGGTGGAGGTAGTGGGGGTGGAAGCAGGCGCCATCCCGTGGATTCAAAGGGAGACCCCGGGGGTGTGGGAGTTATTGACGGGATTTATTTGGTTTTCGAATTCACCGGTGTCAATGATTTTTAGATTTTTTTTATTCATCCATCGATTTATTTTGGCGATGGGCAGAAAAATCCCTAACTAATCCTGAAAATTCAAATCCTCGCTGTTGAGTCTCCAACTGAATCCTAAATAATTTAATATTCAACATTTCGTTTTTTCTAAATCCTAAATATTTGAATATTCAATATTTAATTTTTAACTGAATCCTAAATATTTCAATATTTAATATTTAGTCTTTAACTGAATCCCAAATATTTCAATATTCAATAGTTAGTCTTTAATTGAATTCAAATAATTTCGATATTTAATATTTAATTTTTAATTGAATCCTAAACATTTCCATATCCACTATTTAATCCAGAACTAAATCCTGTAATCATTCTCCACTTACCATTCAACGTTAATCCATAAATATTTAATGATTCAATTTTTGAGTCAATAGTATTGAATTTTTCTCATGATGGCTTCATTCATAAGTCGAGAGGTGGGTGTAGGACGGGGGTAGGAGGGAGTAGCAGGGGTTGATGTTGGTGATAAAATGAGAGGGTGTGGCGAGTCGGTCCACGATATCCGCGAAATTAGGACGATCCCTCGGAATTGTGCACCAGCAGAGCTGCATTACCTCCTGGAGTACCGGATTTATGCCATCCTGGAGAGGCAAACGGGCGCCGGTCTCCACGACGTGGTGGATGATCTCGTCGTCCTGGATCTCAGCGTAGGGGAAGGCTCCCAGAGTGCTGATCTCCCAGAGAACTACACCGTAGGACCAGACATCACTCTTGTTCGAGAAGGACCGAGAGCTCAGGGTTTCCGGGGCCATCCAACGGGCCGGAAGTCGACGGCCTTTCAACCCCTTCTCCTGGATCACGTACACGCCCTCGCGGGAGAGTCCAAAGTCCGCGATCTAAATATAAAATCCAAAATAAAATATTCAAGGAAAAATTGAGGAATTGCTGAATAATTTTATGTGTGAATTTTTTAAAGTTGAAATGGAATTCTGGGAGTCTGGGAATAACTACTATTTGAAAAATAGGATTTCATTCATTTAGTCAGATTTAGAAGTGATGACTAGACCTTCAAGGATTTGCTGGACGTCAGGAGGATATTCCTGGCTGCCAAGTCTCGATGGACAATTGCATTTTTTTCAAGGTGCTCCATACCCCTCGCTATGTCCAATGCAAACGAGGTAAATCGGCTGTTGTCAATGCCATGAGACATTGAGAACAACTCATTGTCCTCGATATTTGCGTATGTGCGGCTGAGCTCCTCTCCATTCACTGAAAATGTTCGTGAGGATTACTGTGTAGTTATCGGAAACCGAGGGATGAAAACTTTACCGAGAGAAAAACAAAACTGCTGTACAATAGTTTGAATTTCAACTCTTTGTACTTCGCACAATTGATTCCATTAAAACTAATGCTGAACTGTTGGTTCGATATTCAATTCTCCGTGAACTAATCCACTATTGTTCAGTAACAAGATTTAAAACAAATTTGTTCCACCGAAATCAGACAGCACCGCAGAGATTTAATAAAGATTGCAATTTTAATTGAAGCTGATGGTAAAAAACCTCTAGTTCTCCAATTATCGCAAAGTCAATTGAATGGAGTGCGCACTCTCCCCAAATGAATTTCAAAATTTGATTTACCGTTCATATTCCAAAATCACTGTTTATTAAAAAATAGTAATCTCCGAGATTTATGTAAATAAATGATTCTACGATATCTTGATGTATAATTATCCACGAAATTCATCAAATTTCCATTAGAAGTCGCAGAAGCTTTTGAAATATTTGACATTTTACGACTCGCGACGAATATTTTAATTATTTATGAACCGTCTCGCCGGTCAAATCCCATTACTAACGAAATGTAGAAAGAAAAAAAAAATGGAAAATCAATAAATAGTCGGTGATTATAGATTTGATAATCAATACAGAATAGAAGAATGATTTAAACGAATGATGAATAATTAGCTGGCATAATTTTTCTCTCGGTTTAGAAAAATAAAAAATTGTACATTCTCCTTTTTCCATGAGTCTCTCCCTCAATTGATGGAGATAGCACAGCAGATCCCCGCCCTCGACATATTCCAAAACGACGCAAATTGGATTCTCTGAAAGTGTGCAGCATCCGATGAATTTGACAAGATGTGAATGCGATCCAACGCGTTTCATCGTTTTGATTTCATCGAGCAGCTGTCGACGTGCCTCGAGCTCATCGAATTTAGCTGATGGATTTGATAATTTAACTGCAACTGGAAAATCATCATCGAGATAGCCGAGATGAACAGTCCCGAACTCTCCTTTCCCCAGTTCCTCCGATATTTTTAATCGATCGTAGGATATCTCGAATAAGTCCTCCACCTCTCCAATCTTTCCAGGACAAATCAATACAGATTAATCAATTAATTAGAGACATTAACATTCGTTGATTGGACAACTCCAAGTCATTGATTACCTCGTTATCACGGTAGATGTACAAGCTGTTGTGCTTCTTCAAGATCGAATTTACCCATTGAACTCGATCGGAAATACCCGTCAGAGAAGGAATCCTGAGAACATCCGATTTATTCTCACCAAAATAGACAATAATCTTCACTATTACTTTGACTTTGTTATTAAAAACACAATGGAACTACGAAATTAATTTTCGCTGGAAATTCCACAAAATATATTATTCCACCAAAAAATTCTCACTTTTTCTTAACACGTCGTGTGTTTTATTTAACAAAATCAGTCCCAGGTAGGTATTGCGATTTTTAATTCATTGTGTAGTGGCTAGGATATTGTACGGAATTTTATTGGACCCAATAACTTACGCAGATGCTGAACTGGGGAGTATTATCCTGTACTTCTGGCATCTCCAGTTCCAGACGAAACTCAGGACTACCAGGAGCACTAGACTGGCCACTGCCATTGAAATGTAGAGCGGCCACTGGTATTTTTAATCATTTAATTCAAGTTCCAGATTGCATTAAAGTGTAGATTAATTTTCATAATCGTAACTATAAAATCAATACTTCTTAACTACAACCACCAAAAATAGTATCAACCTTTTCCAGGGAAATCAAACAAATCTCGTCGTTTTCCAACAATTTCCCAATTATGTCATCATAAATTTACGCGACCTTTTATCCCAAAAGCACGCGATATAATATCGTATATAAAAATTGTTTAAAATAAAGACGTGATGTAGAAAATCGATTGGTAAATATTGGATTAGGTTTTCCTTACATTTCGCTTTTGTTTGGTAAATGCCTCGACCCTTGGGTAATGATCCAGAGAAAAATCGAAATGTTTTCCGAGGCATCCGTACGCGTCCTCAGTTGCTAATAATATCTTCCGCCCCGGTGATGATGAAATTGAAGTAATTAGATCAATATTCATGACGTAGTGGGACATGTTGACGGGCAGTTGAGCTAGTTTCGATATGTTGTAGACCGGTAGATGGTTTTTCGATATCAACAGTGGGGCTGCGTAACTGATCAGAAAACAAAAATTTCCGTTAACACTCGAGGAGAGACTCTCTGACGGAATTGATTGGGTATACCTCAGGATATATGACCTCACGAGGGAGTGATTCGTGGGTATTTCCCAGTTTATTTCAATATCCCCGGACTCCAGGACTTGCCAGTGTACCTCAGGAACCGGCAGATGCTCGTGAGCATCCTGACAATTGCATGAACTTCCTACACAGCTCGGGACTGTGATGTTGATCTAGGATAAATTAATCCTTTTTAAAATCCTAGACTCTGACGGAAAAAAGTTACTCGTCTTGGGGATTTCCACGGGGATGGAAAACATATATAATAAATATTAAATATATATTTAATATAATATTGAAAACCTTTGCAGTATTCGACGCTCCAGCCCTGGGCTGTCCGATTATTTGTATCTCGTACGTGCACGTGGGTCTGATTGTCAATTCCGGAATGTCAGACAGATAATTGTTCTCCGGCAGAACAATGCTAGTTTGTTCTGCGTTCCTTGTTGTGTGGAAGATGTTCTCTTCAAGTGGACAATCAGCGAGATCCTCGGATAAGTCCCCCGTTGTCTTCTCAGGATTTTCAACTGGACTGATTAAAACACTAGGAAAAAAATTTAATTACCGTAAACACTTGTTTTTATTCGCTAAATCAAATAATAATATTACAATTCTCAAAAATTCTCAACAATTCTTCATCTCAATTGCAATACAATATTGTAATTTTTTTATTCGTGTTTGGAAATTTTTTGGATCGAATCGAACAACTACTTGTTCTCCAGAATTAGTCGCGCTCTTTCGCTTGAAATTTTAATTGGATTGCCCTCATTATCTTTAATTAGTTTTACCTGTAGTATTTAAGTGATAGAGGTGCTTCCGGGGGCAGCCAGGTAATATTAAACTTCAAAAGAGTGTAATTTTCATCGTCAACGGAATCCTCGAAGACGAGGACTCGCAAATCGCGCGGCGCGTCGACTGAAGTACTCGCTCCTGAGCAATTGAAAAGTAAAGTACTCAGGGTAATTACGGTAATCGTCGCAGTCTGCAAGTTCTGATGAAGGATTCCCCTCTTCGGAGACATCTCATGGTAACACTGGAGTTATTTCGATGGATTATTTACACCTCGGGGGAAAATATTTCATTGTTTATTATAGCACTTTGGTACTCAATACATTCCGTAATACTGATGTATCCTGTGCATTCGTACACTCGAATCTTCAATCTTATCTTGGAAGTTCCAGTAGACTGTCGCGGTGATATCTTCGAGCCTATGATAAACTGATAAGCAGCCGATTTTATTTCTGCGATTTCTACAGAATGCAGATTATGCGGGGGAATAAAATTGATGGGGAAAATAAATCGATGGATTCGTTCGACACTCGAGTAATTGCAAATATTAAATTGAAATTACGCGGTAATTATTAATAGTTGTTAATTACTCCCAAGTCAAGAAGGAAAGCCGCTAATATTCATGATTTCGTAGAGCAAAAAATAGAAATTTCTCTGAATGTATGAGAGATAGCGAAATTTTTGTAGAGATTTTCTTTATAAATTTCATTACGCTTAACAAAAAAAGTTCTATTAAGAAAATTGATATCCCTTCCACATTGTGAGATATTTCGGAAATTGTTAACTAAGCGAAAATTGGAGTGACTTTTTATTACGAAAAATTGGTGGATGTTTAATTATTTAGAATCCTTGGCAAGCGGGAAATTCGAATGTCGAAGACTGTTGTCCCGCCATCTTCATAGAAATAATTGAACAGAATTTGTACTCTAACCCCTAAGTCACGAAGTCCTCGATCTACAGAAAATAGAGTTTTCTCGCGTCACTCGTAATTTGCCGGGTCATTGTGAGATTTGTTAATAAACATGGCAGGCACAGCAGGACCCAAGGATGTTAATTCGTTTTTAAGTCAAAAACAAAATACCCCGGACAAGGAATTGGCGGCGGAATGGGCCCAGCTGGAGGAGTTGTACAACAAAAAGTTAGTGATCTCTGTTGTTCGACAATTCTCGTTGCTCATGTCATTGTTTATTCCTGGATTTCAGGCTCTGGCATCAGCTCACGTTGAAGCTGGAGACATTTGTCAAGCATCCATCACTCCAGAAAGGGGATAATCTCATTCAATTGTACAAAAACTTCCTCTCGACATTCGAGAACAAGTGAGTTTACGTGGTACAACAGACCAGAGTAAAATGGCCACTTCATATTTTCTTCCACTACTGAGATGAATAAGATCAATAGTTTGTTTATTATCATTTACTTCTCCCGATTAATTCATCAATTTTAGTTAAGGAACACAAATTTATCGTATTTTACTGAAAACGGAACAGGCCACTTTACTAATTTTAGTCTCATGATGTTCTGAGGCCTGAAACGAAGATAAATTATTGCAGGATAAATCCCCTATCCCTTGTGGAGATCCTGGCTCACGTGATTGAACAGTTCACTGACAAAAGGGAGGCCATTAAATTCCTGGAATCCACCGAGCCAAAAGTCGAAAAGAATAATGAAGCTGTGTCCCTCTGTAAAGTCCTACAGGGACAGATTCTCCTGGATAAACTCAATGACCAGGAGAAAACGAAGAAAGTCATTGAGGATGTTGAGGCAATGCTGGATAATGCTGATGGGGTGACCACTGTCCATGGGAGATTTTACCTCCTGGCGAGTAGATTGTACAGACTCCAGGGGAAACACGCTGAATATTACCGCACCGCCCTGAGGTATTTTCCCCTGTAATTTTTCATTTTATACCACTCTGGTATCATAGATTTTCAAGTAATTGTAATATTTCATAAACTCTCAGGTATTTGGGATGCATCGACGTGGAGACCCTGACGAAACAAGAGAAGGAGCAGCACGCATTTTTCCTGGGTCTAGCTGCTCTTCTGGGTGAAGGGGTGTACAACATCGGAGAACTCCTAGCCCACCCTGTGCTCCAGTCCCTCAGGGGAACACCCAATGCCTGGTTGGTGGATCTTCTTCAGGCATTCAATGCTGGGGACATCGCAGCACTAGAGAGACTCAAGCCCCAGTGGTCCAAAGTCGCTGATCTAGCCGCCCAGGAGTTGAAGCTCAGACAGAAAATTTCACTCCTCTGTCTCATGGAGATGACGTTCAAACGCCAGTCGAATAATCGGTAATTTAATTATTTATTCTGTTTTCAATTTATATTTATTTTAATTATGATCATTCTTTTACAGTCAACTGTCATTTTCGGAGATTTCCCAAGAGACTCGTCTCCCAGTGAACGAAGTCGAACTCCTGGTGATGAAAGCCCTGGCCCAAGGTCTCGTTCGTGGGGCCATCGATCAAGTCGCTGGTATCGTCAACATGACATGGGTTCAACCACGAGTTCTTGATCGAACGCAAATCACAGGAATGGTACAGCAGCTGGAGAGATGGTGCAAGGACGTCAACACCATGGAGCACCTCCTGGAGTCTCGCGCCTCCGAAATCCTTACACTTTAACTCCAAAATTCCACAATTTTTTTTCACTAAGAAAATACTGTTGTCGTGTTGACACAATAATTCATTAAAATTATCAACAATTATCTTTGAAGTAATAAAAATTGTACAAATCAAACATCATTGAAGTTACCTTTAATATCACCGCCTTTTACTGCAGAATGTCTCCGAATCCGATGGAGATGACAAAATTATTGTTAAGACCTTTTTTATTGGCTTTATCCCAGTCTGGAGAATACCTTCTGCATGAAATTTCGCTATCTCTCGTGAATTCCGAGATATTCCTTGAAAACTAAGAAATAACTCGTCTACGTTCTATTCCTCTGTTGATGTTTTGCTTGAAGAAAAACATTAATCCAAATCAATTGAAAATGGTTGACATTTTAAAAAAAGGTATCATTCCACCCTGAAATCAGGTCATTGATAAAAAAAAACGTCTGGTGCATCAAAGGACGAGGGAAAACATAAAATAAGAACAAAGAACTCAATCAGTGAAAAGTGCTCATGTGTGCGTCTAATACTTGGAATTCCTTACAATGACAGCAGCGAATTTACGTGATTGAGGTTACGTATCCAATCTCATCAGCTATAACAGGGAAAATTAGATAAATGACGCACAGGTATGATATCTAATCGGTCAGTCTTAATCAGCTGCTCTAATTTTTGAAGAATTTTTCAGCTGTTGTGAAAGGATGAAGGTGTTGTTGATTTTATGGACTGCACTGCTGCCGGTTGTCAAAGTGTTATCAGAATCATCAGAACCACCACCACCACTTTATCCGCAGGTTGTTTTGGCTGAATATGGAATTAACTACAATAAATCCCTGAATTCCAGCCTCGAGTGGGTTTTCCTCTACAGCAACAAAAATGTAAGAAAAGGCCACCATTCAATCGTCAAATCAATTCCCTCCTTTTAATAATCAATTATCTCTATAAAATTCATAATTAATTTAATTATCAGACGGGCAAGGCACTTCCGCAGTTTAAATAAAAAATAATAACAATCAAGCAATAAAAGTTGGGCTTATCGAATTTTCCGCGAAAATTTGGAGGGGAGATTTTAAAAAATTAAGAAATAAACATAATTGCAGAATAGTCAGGGGGCAAGGATCTACGTAGACAGTGAAGCTAGTGAAGATGAGCCTCTGCTTGTCGTTGTCAGACAGAAAAAGGGAATTCTTTCATGGCAGATTCCTCTCCTGGTGGAGAGGAAAAATGCAGAGCCCCTTGCCTTCTCCAAAACCAGCAGAACCTTGTGCTCAGCCAATTATTATAAAGTGGGAAGGAGTTATTTGGAGAATGAGGAGTTTATCACCGTCAGTATTTCAATTGAGAGCCAGTCGAAGATCGAGTTCAATCTCTTAGTTGTCGCAGAAACGGATTTCTATATTCGGTACTATTATAATTAATACTAATTGCCTCGGGTTAATTTTCTGCTGGTAGTTTTCTATCCATTTAATTGATCAATTTTGATATGGTCAAATCTTCAATCTCTTTCATGATTGTTTAAAAAATATAAATATATATTTCAGAATCTGTGCTTTCAGACCTGGAGAATCTCGAGATCTGGTGGTCTCACCGTCAGAGCCTCGATACTACGGCTATAACTTCTCGAACCAAGCAGAGAATAGCTCAGTGCTCGTGAAAATTAATTCCACCAGCGACACATGCATGACAGTCTCTATCCAGAATCCATCATGCCCAGTGTTCGACCTAGAAAGGAATATAGAGTTCTCAGGATATTGGCAGACAGTGAGTCAGCTGGGGGGTATAACAATTCCGCGGGATGCGTATCCCAACGGTTTCTTCATCGTCCTCGTGGTCAAGGGTGAGGATACAGACTGCACCCTGGAGATGGGATCGTCAGACCGGAGTAAATCAGTGACAATCAGCATCACCCCGAATATCACCTACAAGGACGGTGTCAAAGCAGCTACTATTGCTCTGGCTATAGGTTTGGCCTTCTGTATCTCCTATGTCATCGGAGTGCTGTCCCACAAGGTGAGAATACGTCGAAAACTCCAGCAGGAAGCTGTCCTGGACGTGGACGTGCCAGATCCCGAGATGTTGCCGAGTCCCTCAGCCCTTGAGGATCCTGGACCCAGCCAGTGGACGTCCGTCGACGATGGAGACTCCTCTCTTGACGAGGACGACATCGACATCCTCCAGGACGCATTATCGGATAAAGAGATTATTCGCACCAGACGAGTCCTCTCGGTGTCAGATTTAGCTAGAAAAGAGCCAAAAATACTTCGACACAAGTCTCGACTCTATCTTTATTACCTGGGGACAATTGCTGTGTTCTATGCACTTCCTGTTGTCCAGCTGATGGCCACCTACCAGAGGGTCATCCATGTCACTGGCAATCAGGACCTCTGCTACTTCAATTTTCTCTGTTCACATCCATTCTTTGGATTCTCTGATTTCAATCACGTATTTTCGAACTTTGGGTATGTTCTACTTGGATTGTTATTTATCTGGCTGACGTGGACCAGGGAACAGGGGGATCTTGCATTCGCCGAGAAGAAGAAGAGCTTTGGAATTCCTCAGCATTATGGATTGTTCTATGCCATGGGAACTGCTCTGATGATGGAGGGTGTTCTCTCTGCTTGTTATCATGTCTGTCCCAATCACAGTAATTTTCAATTTGACACGAGTTTCATGTACATAATAGCGGTGTTGTGCATGGTGAAAATATACCAGACAAGACATCCTGACATCAACGCTCGTGCCTCGGTGACATTTGGAGTGCTTGCACTGATAATATTCCTGGGGATGCTGGGGGTCCTGGACGGTTCATATTACTTCTGGATTATTTTTACCATAATTCATCTCGTTGTGTGCCTTGTCCTAACAGCCCAGATTTACTACATGGGCAGATGGAGACTCGACAGGGGAATGTTTCGTCGAATAATCAACACATTTAAACATGACGCACGATCAGGCATTACGAATATCATGAGACCGATGTACGGAGGAAGACTAATTCTCCTCGTCATAGCAAATTTTTGCAATGTCGCCCTAGCCGTCTTGGGGAATACGCATCGTGGAAAAGACTTTGCAACATTTCTACTGACAATTCTCATGTCCAATCTCCTGTTGTACACCTTCTTCTATATCGTGATGAAGCTCTGTCATGGGGAGAGAATTAAAAACCCAACGGTGTGTTACATAATTCTGTCCTTCATCACCTGGGGTTTTGCCCTCTACTTCTTCATCGAAAAATCCATCTCCTGGGCCCTCACACCGGCCCAATCTCGTCACTCAAATCGCCCCTGCGAATCACTACTCAATTTTTTCGATTACCATGATATCTGGCACTTCCTCTCTGCCCTCGCCATGTTCTTCTCCTTCATGGTTCTCCTGACCCTCGACGATGACCTCGAGGACACCCACAGGAGTCTCATACCCGTATTCTAATACTATTAGTTAATTTCTGGATAAACTTTCTACTGATTCATTTCTATTGAATGATTTTGTTCGTTGCAGAGATTTCTCCTGTAATTTCATCATTTTCAAAACGAAAAATCATATCCGCTTTTTCTGCAATTCTATAAATGATTTTATACAATCATTTCTTATTATTTTTTTGATAATAAATAAGGAGAAAAAGTGGGATTCAATACCCCGAAACTCTATTGTTAAATTACTGTTTTTTACTTTCACTAGAGTTTCTAGAAATATCTATTAGAAATTGAATAAAATATCTGTAAAGCTGCGAGTTGTTGTAATTTTAAGAAAAATAAATAAACAAAACGTGTGATATTTTAACAATATAATGATTCTTGTGTTTATTTGTCATGGCAGTGATTCCCTTATTCCATGATTACATAAATTCATTCGTTCTTAATATTAATTCTACCATATTAAACGTATGAAATTGTGCTCACAAACATAAATAAGCACCTAATTACGAAATCCATGAATTTCTCTCCTTAAAAATCCCCTCGAAAATCCAACGGAAATCACACTCGACTTACAATACATAAAAAACCTACTAAATATACAATTGTCTAAATAAATGGGGGTGACGCAATTGCAGAGGTCAAAATTCATTCCATATGTACACACTAACAACTATAACCAGGTACCCATTGCAGGTGTGAAATGAATTGTCTCGCAATCCAGACGGAATGTTAATTAAACATCAAAAGCCCCGATCAATTCCCAATGACGAATTAACCCGAGACCTCAAGGATGAAGAAATTTCACAAGAAATCCTAACGAATTCGTTAAAAAATTCAGTAGATGTTAAAATGAAAGCCATAAGTGTCTGATAAAATTATCATAAAGTTCCATATAAATTCAATTTTTTAACGAATTCGTTACGTTTTTCTATTAAATTTTTTCATCGATGCTGAATTACCATTAATCAACTTCCTGTGCAGCCTCTTCGGACTCAAGCTGGGTAAGTTTTTTGAGGAGCTCTGTCCTCTCAGAGGATTGAAGTCGTTGGACAATCTCGAGAGCAGCATCCAGTCGTACCTCAGGACAGACCTCAATAGCCTCCTTCACATGAGTAACAACTGCATCCCTTTTAACGCAATTAATATTCCTGGTAACAACACTATTTTCATTCTTCGTTTGCTCTATCAGCCAAGAGACAACAGTCTCGTCCTGATCCCACAGATAGGACTCAGTGGTGCCTTTATCCTCGACAAACCACCGCCTCAACATGGCATCGACCTGCCTGTAATCCAGATTAGGTTCAGTAGAAAGAAGATCCCTCTTAATCTCGTCCTCAAGGAGTCGTCTTCTGAGCCTCCAGTACAGGATTTTCCTGGATTTTTTCCAGGGGACGATGTCCTGAATAACATTTTTCTCGAGCATTCTCTCAGGCGTATCATGTAAATCCGAAAAATGCACAGCCACCTGGTGATACATGGGAAGAAGGAACTGCTCTCTCTGCTTGAGTTCAGCCTCGACAGAATTTTTTTCCTCCCCAGATAGCCCAGGATTGGCTAGTTTCTCCTTCAGCCCCTGAGTCACTGAGTCATTCCTGTGAATTGCCTTGATGATATCCTTCTTCCTGAATTTAATCTCAACAATTCCCTCAGGCTCCAAAACCCCTCCCCTGCTGGTGGGTTCAGCAAACATCTCGATGTACCTGGGATTAATCGTCGTATCAACAACAGCCCAGGCCCCTCCTCTGAGCTCACCATTCGGTGGAATATAAACAAAAACAGGTCTTGTGTACTCCCTCAATCCATCCACGATATACGCCCCAAACTTCATCACCTGTTCATACATATCCTTCATCCCACTAGAGAATCCCCTCCAATTGGCAAAAATCACTAGTGGCAGTTCCTCCCTGGAGAAGTCCTTGATAGCCTGAGCTGTCTTGTAAGCACTGTCAGGGAACCACACCTGTCCAGCCTGTGAAACCATCTTGGCCTCAGAATCGAGATTAGCCGGATCAGCAGGCAATTGGAATTCCACAGTCCTGGTCTCCACAGCTACAACACCACAGGGAATTCCTCCAAGCCTTGCCCTCCCAGTGACAACAGTCTGAGCCCAAGGTCTCATAATCTCCTCCCAACTGCCTCTATCGAAGAATCCAGACTCCCAGACATTTCCCTCAGGGGAGAACTTCCCCTCGAGCATAAACCTGGGATTATACGGTGTTTTGGTCGGTGTGTAGACAATTTCCCTGTCGATAGGATCAGCCGGAGGGATTATAGGAAGAGGTCCCCCTTTGAATGTTGGTACCATGCTGATCCACCTGAGGACAGTCTCCACTCCATCAAGATCTCTAGGTGCAGTGGCGTGGGAGACACCATTGTGATGCATAATAGATATTCCCCCCAGCTGATTATTACTGGCGTAAACCTCCCGCCCTAGGACAGCATTCAGTGCCCTGTACCCAGTGAGAATAATATCAGAGTTTTCGATCTGAATGACTCTCTGACCCAAACGCAAAAGATAGGATCCAATTCCAATAGCCCTGCACGTCGCCACTGAGATCGTCACGATGTCGTCGTACGCTCTGGATGTCTCCCCAGCAATCATTCCCGCGTACTTAAGATTCTCTACCCCCAGGCCATCATCAATACCAATGATATCAGTAATTTTGTACCTTGATTCCCCCTCATCCTCGATTAACGAGGCCTTAACAGTATTCAGGGATGCCAGACGAGCGTAATCATCAGGTGTCAGATAAATGTACTTGAATCCCTTGTCCGGGGCTGAGTTGTCCTCCCAGGCGACCCTGAAGAGCCCCTTGACCTCTTCAGCAAGTCCGATCCTCGCTCCAGAATTCGCAGAGAAGTAGATCCTAGGAATGGACAATTCTCTGGCCTTCTGCGACGCAAGGAAGAACACCAGATCCTCTCTGGGGCCAAAGGATCCTATGAGGTACGTCAGGTCGTTAGCTATGAGGATGACATCCCGTCCAGAGGGGCACTCTGGGGTGTAGAGTGTTAATTTCCAGGCAACCATTCCCACATCGTTCTCCCCAGGCAGTCGTTTCTGCTCCATGAGGACATCCCCATCGAGAACAAGTTCTACATAATCTATAACTGGATTTGGCATCGTTAGATTCTCCCCAGGTCTCTCCTCCAAATAACGAGTCCAGTACTTCTCAATCTGCTGCCTGAACATGTCAGGAAGATCGTAGATGTATGTAGTCCCTGCACTCTGTGCCTGGAACCTCTTCGCCTGGAGATAATCCTTCGTGAGATAGGGCGTAGATATTGGTAGTCCATGCATGGGACCAGGTCTCCACGTCTCTATATTACTCGAGCCATAAGACTCGAACTTGATGACGCCTGTCTTGGGATCAGTTGTCTCCGCATATAAATGTAGATCAATGCTGTATCCACTGTCATTGGAAATACAAAGACGAACGTTGTACGTTGGTTTTCCAGGTGCTGGCCTGATCGTCATTTTGATCTCAGCCTGACGAACTCGCAGCTTCCAGAGACGTGGTCCATACCTCAAAACCATACTCGTCACACTCTCCTCAATTCTCGCTGGATCCATGATGACAGTTGGCACGAAATTGAGGAAAATGTGATTGCAGTCTGTCCTCTTCGCCAGGGGATGAGAGAATGCTACTTCCAGCTCATCCATCGCCTCCAGGAGTACGCGTTCTCCCTCATTATGGAGATAATCAAAGCTTGCCTCCTTGGTGATGAGATCCGAGTGTCGCACGATCGATCGAATGAAGAACCTGTAGTCAGTCACTTGTTGGCCTTTAGCCACTTTAGCCTGTCCGAGATAAAGATGCATTTTCTGATTAGATGTGGGCAGCGCCTCGAGATCGTACGTTCTCATTCTCGTTAACTCCAGTTGAAAGGCTGTTCCTGGCTCCAAGTGTCTGTAGATCTTGTCCTCGACGAAGCCATCCCGATGACGATAAGTGAAGAACTTGGGGAACTGACGCCTTTGGAGAGCAGCGAATGTCACACGACGAATTCCTCGGGATATGAGTTCCTCCTTGTTAGTGAGACACCAGTCACCAAAGAGCCTGGACATCGTGGCGTCGTCCTGCTGGTTACCATTGTCCTGGACAGCAATGCTCAGGATGTGCACTGGCTCTCCTGGTTTCTCCCCTATTGTAGAATCCACTGCTCCTTGCTCTGCATGACTCAATGACACATTTATCGATGTACTGTGTCTAGACTCACTGACAGCTGCATCCACAGCCTCCAGGACTTTGGCAGAAACCGACGAAGGGGAGGAGAGATCCTCCAAAAGGTCCAGGACTTCATCTGAGTACTGACTGAACTCGTCGAGGCTGTGGAACGCTGCCATCGCTCCAGTTCTATAATTAACCAGAGACTGGTTCTGCCGATTTGGATGATTACTCGGTAGAAGAAACTGGAAGTATACCAGTGGAATTTCTCCAGATAATTCCAAATGCTGGAGACAGGTCAGCTCATAACTGATGTATGCCCTTCTAACGTAGACCTCCAAGGCTGCATTGCAAACAGCTCGATTTGTGTGATAAAAGAAATCATGAAGAATATCGAAAATTGATGTCTCTGAGAGAATGAGTTTCTGGAGGTTCTCAGGGTGGAAATCGTGGCCGTACATGTCCACTGCAGACAGGAATATCGACTCCATTTGATTGTGACGAAGTTCATAGGCAGGCTGATGAGCTGCTATGAGAACCTGGCGAGCTCTCAGGGCCACTCTGCTGTGCTCTGAACGATTGAGATTTGTCAGTTCCGTTAGAGTGCTGGATAGCTCGTCAGTCAGGCCTGGTTCGTTCGCCCACAGGTGATCAATCAGCATCGTCACCAGAATATTCTTCTTGGTGACATGATTATGACTGAATATAGTATTAGTAACCATCGTCATGTCGTCTTTATACTTTGCAATCAGAGCAGATACGCATTTATCGTAATGCCCCTGTTGAAATTGACTCTCCACCGTGTAGTACTGCCTCAGCAGCTCGTGAACAGCTGTCTTCATTCTTCCTCTGATACCATTCCTGTACCTCTGCACCAGCTGAACGATAGCCTGAGTCGTCAGGAAGAAGACATCTCTCTCTGCCCTCTTGGATAATGTAGCTGCGTGGACATCGATGACAGCTGCTATCTGCTGTGATGGAAACTGGGCAAGGACAGACGTTATATTTCTTTCGTAAAGTGTCATCATCTTCCTGATTTTCTTTTCAACTGATATCGGTATTCTTCCGGATATTGTCGAGATGACCTCCTGCAGCTCGAGAAGGGGAAGGCTGGGATCCCTCAGAGAGCTCATAAATTTCTCGATCAACTCGCGGAGTCGAGGTAAATGGTAAGGATCAGGGAGACAATATCCCCCCAGGGTATTCTCCAGAGCTGTTCTGTACTTGGCATGGAGGAGATTGAGTTTCTCAGGGACTGCTGGAACAGTTGGTGGTGGGAATTGTCCGGTGTACTCCTGGGCCTTTGTGACAAGAGAGGGATCGTCCAACTCCAGGTGAGCAATGAGAGTTCCAGCCTCGAGGACAGCCCCAGGTCGCTTAACGTAGAAAACAGATCCGGATTCGCCCGCTGTTACTGTCATCACCATCTTCATAACTTCGATCTCAGCGTAGGCCTGACCTGCGTCAATGTGTCCTCCATCTTCAACCAGAAAATTAATGAGTTTTCCTGTAGACGGGGCACGAAGCAGCGAGGGGTCATTGTCTTTCTCAAATATACAGGTCTGATTTCCAATGACAATTCTGTAACTATCGACCTCTTCCCTCATGTAAGTCGTGAAGCTAGAGCCGTCGAGAGAGAGAAGAAGACCTCCATCAGACAGTCGATGGAGCTCCACTTCCTTATAAGACCCATTCATCACCAGGAAGTAGCTGTTGGGGCCACACTTGGTCGTCTGTATCCTGTATTTCCATCCATCATTAATTAACTCCACATCACAGACATTATTGAGGTCATTGCTCGCCTGAATCTGTCCTCTTTCCAATCCCGTTTGAAACCCAGTGAATGCTGCAGTGATGGTGCGATCAGCGATATGAAGTGCTCCACATGTTACAGCAAGAAGTACATCAGGTTTGTCACTTCGAACTCGTTCAGCAATCAGAGCATCCAGCCACGCAGTGTCTATACTGTTTATCTGAAAAGACTCAGTCTCTAAAAGAGTGATCAGGTACTCTACAGTTGTTCTAAAGTCACCCCTGATGCTGAGTTCCTTGAGAGCAATCACCAGATTCTCCCTTGCCATATTTCTATCCTCCCCCCACGAAAAACAGTGACCGAACTGGGAGTCTGCGAACTCGTGTAGTCCCCCAGAGGCCCCCACCGAGAAATATCCCCAGACATTCTTCGATGATCTGAAATTCAACTCCTGAACAGTTCCTGATGAGGGTTTGAAGCCTTCATCGGGATTCTCACTGGTGATTCTGGCAGCTATGACGTGTCCCCAAGGCTGGGGCTTGTGCCTGGGCTGATCGAAGTCGATGGTCGAGTCTCCCCAGGGGCTCTCCCCGTACAGCAGACGAATGTCCTTGATGTGATGTAGTGGCAGTCCCATGGCAATCTGCAACTGTGCAGCTGGCAGATTAACATCGGATACCATCTCTGTGCAGGGATGCTCCACCTGGAGACGAGGATTGAGCTCCAGGAAGTAGTAGCGACCAGATGTATCATAGAGATACTCAACCGTGCCAGCACTAACGTATCCCACCATTTTTGCAAGTCTCACAGCGGCCTTCTCCATCTCCTCGAAGATCTCGGATTTTGCTATGACAGCTGGCGCCTCCTCGATGATTTTCTGATGCCGCCGCTGGATCGAGCAGTCCCTACCAAACAGAGAAATAGCATTTCCATAGTTGTCTGCCAGGAGTTGAACCTCCAGATGACGAGCGCACTTTGCTAACTTCATTATGAAGATCGGTGATCCTGGTACTTCAGCCTGAACCTGACGAAAGAGTGTCGGAAGTTCCTCTGCGTTCTCCACCTTTCGAATTCCCTTTCCACCGCCACCTTCACTAGCTTTTACCATCACTGGAAAGCCTATTTTCTTCACTGCTGCCAGACACTCCTCCACTGAGGAAACACAGCCCTTCCTGAAGAGCTCCGATGATATTTTTATTTTTTTTCCGCTGTACTGGGCCTTCAACTCTGATCCTGACCAGGGAAGGGTGGGAACCTCTGCTGTTTGGGCAACGATGCTGGAGGCTATCTTGTCACCTAGTGCCCACATCGCACGCTCCGATGGCCCGATGAAGGAGATGTTGTTCTTGTGGAGGAGCTCTGGTAGCTTTGGATTCTCAGATGCGTGACCCCAACCTGCCCACACAGCCTGCACCTGAGTTCGCAGGGCAATATCCACAATCAGCTCGACGTTCGCGTAGTTGTTGTTATTTGTACCCCCTGGAACTGGAACGTACTGGTCTGCCATTTTTATGTACTCGGCATTCGCCTTCAGGTCCTCTGGTGTCACCATCACCACGAAACGAACTGCTCTCTCGTTCTTGAACATCTCGTATGACCAACGGCGAATAGAACGCATGCATTTCACCGCTGCTATTCCGTTGTTGGCGATCAAGACCTAGAGAATTCATAACGTTCAGGGAAATCGAGACCAAAATATTATGACAATAAATAAATCCAGTAATTACTTGTTAATTTGAAGTAGAGACAAGATTTGTAGGGATCGATCGAATTTGGATACTCGATTTAGAGATTTTTAATCGCGATAAATCAATTGAAACTTTTTAACTGTTAATCGAGAAAAATGAAGAAGAATTGAGAAAAATTGAGAAAAATTTAGAAAAATGAATTATTTTTTATCAAGGCGAAACAGCTAATTATTTAGTTTCCTTCAGACACGCTTTTTTAAATATTTTTTACTGGATGTATTGATGAATGCCAATCCTTTTACCTTGCGTCACGGGGTCAAAGTGTTGACGTTTAAAATGAAAAAACGGAAGAAACCGGTTTTTATTTACCTTATTAATGACTTTAGTGCCATTGAATCGGTGAACGAATTCCTCGGGTGTTGCTACAGTGAAGTCCTTCTCCTGTCCTGGACTCTGGGCCTGAATCATCACTGTACCCTGAGACATGCTGGGCCTGTTGTAATACCAAAAATCACAAACGCTTTTATTTTCCGTGAAAAATGTCATTACAATTACGTAAATATTAAGACTCCGCTATTTCTCGTAGATTCAGAGGAATTCCTGAAAAACTACGCTTTTATTTAAGAATTTGCGGAGATTTTAACGCTCGGACGAATGAGTTTTTTTGGTTCATTTAAATCAAAGAAATGTCTGGATTTTCTTCTGGAGCGCTGGAAGAAAGGCTGGAATTATTGATGAAATGAAAATATTGAGTGAATATTAGTGAATAAGCCGGAGTCACGCCTTTCTCGGATATTTCCTTTTTCCTGTAAACTACGACAATTGTCATACCTGAGGTCCGATGACGCCATTAGATAAGTTCATCAATAGAAAGAGTGAAAATCCTATAACAATCGCTGAATAACAGCGAAGTACGTGCTCGTAACAGCGAAGGCACTCGACGATTTCGTTTTCACTTTGTCATCGATAAAATCATGAAAGAACGTTTTATTTTTTATCACACGTGCACGTAATTCGAGAAAGGTATTCTGGTCTGGATGAAATTCTGAGTTTCAGTGGTAATTTAGGAGTTCGAGAACCCAATGAACTACTCCCGGGACAGCCATCGAGAATAATCGGTTGTGAAATAGTAATCCCCAATTTTAATTATCCCTTCTCATTCTGTTTTGATTGTCAGGTACGTAAACAGTTCAGTTGGAATTTCTTGAATCTCCAGCAACAATTGCACTCGATAAATTAATTCCACGATTTTTCCAAAAATTTCGTAATTGATTTTAATTACTTCAATTAATTTCTAAGACCAAGCATAAAATATCTGCATAAAATTCGCATTTCAATTCGTCTCAACTTTTTTTCTTAGTGTAAAAATTATTGAATTTTGAAATGGCAGAAAAATGCAAATGAATAGAATTTTTTTTTAATGATTATAATATTAAAACCTTGATATTTATCGAATTAACTACAAAAAACACTTCTACCACTTCATTATTGAATTTTCAAATGGTGGGCGGAGAAAAAATTCTCAGATCGCGATTTAGGGAAATGTCCAGTAAAAATAACAAGTGTTGGTGAAAAATGCTCACGAATATTGCAATTTGACCAATTGTGATTTTTCGGATAAAAATTTAAATGACGATTTTTTCGAATCGAATAAAAACGATTTACGTAAGGCCTGAGGTCTCAGATCGCTGATGACTCTTAGGTACAGCCAGATGATCCTCCGTGGAGACACTTCCCTCGGAGCTTCTCGATGGTCCTGCAAGAAGATTATCAGAGCTCTTCCAGATTGGATCCTTCTCATCGTTCTGGGCCAGAACGAATCTCTTCATCCGCTTCATGGTACTGTCCAGCATCTCTCTGATTGTCCACGCAATTTTCACGACTTGCCTCGCAATCCGACAATGGAATCCCCGATCTTCCTCGAGGGAAAATAAAGAGGCGACTGACTAAATCCTCATGATTTAGCAGTAGCTATCAGTATTTTTGCATGCATTGCGTACAAAAATAGCCCGAAAATGCACCGAAAAATATCTTTTTTTTTATTGTCTAGTCAATTTTTTTTACGCGTATTTACAATGATTTTTGGGCATTTTATATATTCTTCAGGTCATACTTATCGACATTTTGTCTTGAGATATGGCACAAGTTTTTTAAGTCTCTTGATCGAGCCCGCACTCCTCGCAAGATCAGCAATTACTGACTTGACAACCTGTTCAGGTGCCTCGTACTTTCTCAATGTCCAAAGGAAATATCCCCTCTACATTTTGACAGCCATTGCTTCCAGACACCGAGGGGACGTGGATAATGCATAGGTAAAAAATTCCCAGCATTTTTGGATATTCTAGCGCCTCGATTTTGACTTTTCAATTCATCACTGGTTTCTCTCATTTAAAAAACAAATCAAATTATTACAATTCTCTTCTAGTTTAGTTCTTTGAAATCCCGAAAATTGAATGGAATTGAATGGAATAAAAATTGAATTTTACCATCAATTTTCCCTTGAAAAATCTCGATTTTTGAATTTTGTAATAAATAAGTTTATTACAAAATAGGAATAAATGCCTGGTAATTGATAAATTTTTAATTATTATAGTGCAGCTTTTTAAAAAATTATCTATGCTCATTAAAAATGGGTGCTGCAGGTTTTTTGTTAATGTAAAGTGCCAGTTTTAAATATTTGTTTGTGTTTCTGTGGGATAAACAATTTTTTGAAGGTCAGGGCTGAGGCCGAGCAGGAGATTTAATCCATCCCCACATCATCTCTTGGAGATGGGCCCATGCCACCTGACTATCACTCAACCAATCATCAGAGCTTCACCACTTCCCACTACTATTCAACTACTTTGTAGAGAACACGTGATCAATTCTCTCAATTACCATGTGCGTAAATAAAAAATATCATGCTATCGTGCGCAAGGTCTTGTTATCGTAAACTCGTGGGAATTAAATTATTTTGATTATTTTTAGAATAAAAATGGTAATACAATCCGAAGAAGGAATAATCCGACAGCGAAGTCTTAATTTGAATTTATATTGTAGAATAATTAATTAATTGAAATTCATTTCTGTGGAGTAATTGAGGTGAAATTAACAGATGCATTAATTGAAAAAAATTCCGATTATGAGTTTTGAATTTGGAAATTCTCTGGAAATTCAGGAGGAAAATTGGTGTTTCAAGATTTTTGTCTTTAATTTATTTTCGCAGTTTCTTCGGGGCTCGAGGCAAAATGCTGATTGTTAACTCTCGTAAATATTCATTCATTACGAGACCGTTGAAAGTTCGAGTTGGAAGTACGCGTTGAAGTAATCGTTAACGACAAATCTAGTGAATGCGGGCTAAGGATGCATTAATTTACTGGACTAGAGTATAAAGAATGAAACCGTCCACTTAAAATTAATTCTGTCCTCAAAAATAAAAGAACTTTTGTTGATTTTCCATAAGGTTTCCCAAATAACTAAGACAACGAATTTTTACCGGAAATATTCCCTGACAATCAATCGACTACACCCGAATGACTGAATGAATTCATTAAACACGTCGTGACGTCGATTGCCTCGAAATATTCAACAAAAAATATTTCCACATTAAACCGAACGGATTCTCGTCCTTCTGATAAATTCATACCGTTAATCTTATTCGCAGAGAAATAAATAAATAACCAAGAGAAGAAAAATTAAGAAAATTCGTGCTATCTCTGAAATTTGAAATTGAAAAAGGTGATAGATCGTAATTTTACCAGCCGAAACAATTGTTTAAACAAAAATCGATAAATCAATTGAATTTAAATGAATGAGATAAAAAAATGATTTAATTTCCCGGATAAGAATTTCCCTATTTAGCTTCGAATCGATGACGAACGAAATAATAACGACATACATCGATTCACATGCTCCAAAAATAGTATTTTCCAGTTTTTTTAGTCGCAATGAATGGACATAGCAGAAAAAAATATATAATTTAAATTTCAACGATTGGTAATGCTTCGATTAAGAAGCAAAAAGGGGGAAAAACAAATAGAATTCACCTGAGCCTTTTACGTCGCTCAACCAGCCCTGGCAAAATAGGTTGGTGTGCTGTTCCATCATTTCCAACACTAGGAAAAATGTCCTCAGTCTCTAACTCCTCTGAAGGATCAGGTTCTCCAACGACAAAACTCACTGGTGTCTCAGCCATTGTCTTCACTAGATCACTTGTCTCAAGGCCACTCTCGGTTGGGCTAACTTCCTTACACAAACGTGTACCTTTGAAAATTCAAAATAGTAGTTTCTTTGGAATTCGTAGTTAAATCTCCAAGGGATGTAGGAGTAGTAATGCTAGGTTGATTAGAGACCCCAGGATTGAAGAAGCATTAATCCATTATTTCTTTCTCCTCATTGCGCGTCATTTGTGCTATTACATCACTTTATTATCTTTTAAATGACCGTGATACATAAACGGTCAGAAATCAATGTTATCGGAAAATGGAAATAAGAATTTAACGAAAAATGATAAATCACTGCGTACTTCATTGCCATTGGCTTTTTATTATCTTCTTTTTATTTTATACGGAAATTTCACTACAAATTAAACAGATTATAAAATAATCATGTTTTATAATATGTTTAATTCCTTGATTTATTAACTCATTATCTGAACGAATTTGGTAATTAAAACCGCATTCAAAAGTAGTTAATCGATTTACTAGCTAATAAGCTACTTCAGAAATTTTTGCGAATATCTCCGGATCTAAGGGAGATACCGAAATTCTTATGATGACCTTTTTTGTAGCTCGCATTATTTTCTAAAGAAAAGAGCTTCACAAGAAGTTCGCTATTTCCCTTAGATTCCGAGATATGTCTTAAAAATGGGGAAATTCGAATTGTATCTCTTTTTGCCATTTTAATTAAATGAATTTCAATTAAAATTAATTGAATTCATGCTCCAGCCTCAACTTACCCCAAAAATAATAAGAAAAAAAATTCTTCAAACCACCAAAAACCATACGAAGGCGATTTTCACGTCTTCGTGGGTAATCGAGGTTGAAAATAAGATCAAGCACTCGAATTATCCAAAAAACAGCGCCGACAATAAAGAAGTGCACGAATAAACCTTGAAAACAAATATTCCAAATGTTGTTAATTATCCACGACTCCAGTTTTTATTCACAGCTCGAAAGGGCGATCAGTTGAGATTCGGCGTGAGAATACCAATTGTTAAATCGAGGAATTCTTGCAGCATGCTCCATGCAACAGTTTAAATCTTTGATGATCACCACCCAGTGGAAAATTATTATTTGTTATTGTTTAAGATTAATTCCTCGGCGATTGCTCTCCATTTTCACCCGGAATCCGATGAGATGCGGCTTTTTCCCCTTTTCTAGTACTTTTTTTTAGTGTTAGAAAAAAAAACGTACAACAGTCGTCCAGCGATCACAACTGACTGTCAGACTTTGATATTCTTGGGGAATGATAAACGGAAAATGGTTCAGAGGTCGACGTGTGCTTCAAGTAACTTGTGTCGGATTCGCCTTTGCAGTCGCGCGATCGCATTTTCACTGTTAACACGTGTTGTTATCAGAGATGGCATCAACTGACGTCGAACTTTGGAATTATTTTTATCTATCTATTATAGAACTGGGGAGATTAAAATCTCGGTGATTACAATTTCGTAGTAAATTCCATAAAGTACTGTTTTTTTTTATATTGGAAAATGTCGATATCTTTTTGTTAGACCGAAGAATTCAGGTGAAAATTCCTAGACCGCGTGATTCACTAGTTATTCATTTACATTAGCGACTTTTTTTTCATTAGGAAATTTAAATGTTGATCATTTCAGTGGAATTATTAAATTACTACAGCCACTCAGCATCAACTATTATTCATAAATTTCAATAGAATTCAATGAAATTATCTCTTGATTCTCGATATCGACTTTAAATTAAATATTAGAACTTTGAATTTAAATTTTAATTAAATGAACATTTTCCTGAAGAAAAACGGAAAAAGAAGGAATTAATTGATTAATTAATGAATAAACATTGTCCAACAAATAATTCAAGAGTATTGACGAATTTGTTTATAAATCAATATCAGTATTTTATGTAATATATATCCACTATCCATACATAATATATTCGAGATGTGTGGATTAAATTACACAGGGAAAGTCTAGATTCAAGTGTTATTTAGTCTTTTAGGAAAATCGTTGAAGGATCTACTAATCATCTCCAACAATTTCACAATGAGATATCGTTGGAGGTCCAATTATTTTGAAATATAAATAGGGTAGAGTGATAGAGACAACTCGAATGAATGAAAACACGAGTCCAGGGATTGGTGGAGTGTTGTGTCAGGCGATGGGAGAATCGCCTCCCATTGGTTCAGAGCTGTCAAATTTGTTTCTAAGGAGCACATGCCTCTCATACTATGCGCGTGGCACGTAAAAACGTTCTTTCAAAGATAATCAATCAATGACTTTATGAGTGAGTTAGTAGTTACCGGAAAAATCAGTAGCACTCACCGATGATGAATTCTTCGCTGCTGTTTACGTCCACCTCCCTCGAGGTTGGAATCCAATTTCTCACCGTCACCTGCCATTTGAATTATCTATGTCTAAACAATTATTCGATTGTCTAAAAATACGATTCAACTTTATTTAGGTTTTTTTTTGTCGCAGGTTTAGGCACTCGTTTCAGGGACTTTTACGGGATTATTACGAGGTGATGGTTGATATCTCGCGGTTATCGATATCATCGATAATACCGGCTACACTTGGCACTGGGTTTTCACGTTTCCATGGAGTGATATTTTCCATTTGTCAGGGTTTACTCACACGTGTGTACATGTGGCCCAAAAGGGACTTCTGATAATGTAGAGATCGACTCTTTTCTTCGATTAATCGATGGAAGTCATTTTTTAGAAGGAATCGATAGTTTTCATTCTGATTATCGGCTCTCGACTGATCGACTTTTTTTCAAATCAAATTTTTTTTTTTCACAGAAAAATAAATATCTTGCTTTTGCACGTCAATTATTCACTAATCGGTTATTAAAAATCGAGGTTAATCGGGCAATAAAAAAAAAAATTCTCACCCAAATCCCATTTTTTCAGTAATGATGAATTTCGAGTGCCACAATCGATTATTCGACAAGTGATTATCCGATAGGTCGACCAGTTAACAATCGATTGTTTATTGTTGGGTTTCCACATATCCACGGAGTATCTGCTCCAAAGAGTTGCTGAGTTGACTAACGAGGAGATACCCCAGCGTTGCGTGTGGCGCCCTCCCTCTTCTGGGGTCGGCTATGATGCCGCTGGGGTCACTCAAACCCCCAGAACTGAGCCTCTACTTTGGTCAATCCTCTTTGAATTTCAAATATTCCTGTTTTTTTTTTTTTTTCAATTTCCCAGGAATCAAAAATCCACATTTTTTCCTGAGATTTTTTTCGGTGTACCTGTGGATTGAATTTTACTAAATTTAAATCTTTTAATTTATTTTTAAAATATAATTATATAAATTTTTTAAAAAAAATTAAACATCTTGTTAATTTATTAAATTTAAATTCGCCTCCCCATTGTCTTCGCTATCTTTTTCTTGACGTCGAGGATAAGCCAAATCCATTAATTTAGTAACAAAAATAGATACATTTAGTACATCATTTAGTACTTACCTTTTTGGGCGTAGATATAAAATACGACATAAATTTAAGGCCCGGATGGATTATTTGGGGAAGATTATTTACTCCGAAATTTGGACTCCTAGTTACTCCGGAAATTAATAGTTTTTTCCAATAATTGTTAGCTAGCGTCGTAGCGGTTGTCAACAACTAGAGCGCTAGCTAACAATTATCGGAAAAATCGATTAATTGATGGACTAATTAGGAGTGCCAATTTTGGAGTAAATCATCTTTTCCAGACAATCCAACCAGGCTTTAATTCCAATTTCAAAATGCGGCACTCCAGCGTAGTCAATCACTTGTTTATACACGCACTCGCG